GTTCGGTGTTCGAAACCTGGTTGTTCCCGGGGTTCATCCAGCCTCTAGGTAATGGGTACCAGAGTTAACACTGGGGTAAATGGAGGAACGTCACTGTAGCTACGGAGTTGCGTGCGGACGGCGACACAGGCGGACATTTTCTTATCAGCTGTCCTTATTGGTGGCAGAGCACTTATGGTTTATAACCGTGTGCAGTGAAGCTGTTTCACATCTCCCGACTTTACCTTTTTATACTTTATAACATTTGTCGAAATAGGGGGGGGGGGGGGGGCAATTTCACGGATCCCCCGCCTCCACAACTATCGAGTCCATTCCATGTCTCCCAAGAATCTCTAAGCGCCCTTACCCCAACGTCTCTAGTCTGTTTTATATCCCGAAATCAACCCTCTATCCACCCCAGCCTCTCTAGTTTGATTTATTCCATCCATCGACTCTGTTCGTCACCACCCTCCCATCAAGCACTCAGTGTACATACAATGAACATCTCTCCCCGTGGCCTGCCACATACAAACAACTCTCTCAAATGAGACACGACGTTCGACAGCACCGCGCCTCCCCCTTTTCCTGCCGCTTCTGTCCCCCGCAACAACGTTTGAGGCCCCAGGCCCCAGCTTTCAGACGACCGACCGACCGACTGTATTCAATTAGCGACTTCTCTGGCTCCATTTTTCCAAGCAATTTACATTTTATTACCTGTGTAAGGATTCCTTCTCGTACCTTCGACCCACATTTGTAAGCGTCCTAAATTTGTTTTTGATAGATAAGAGAACTGTGTTTTCTAGTCTGGTTGGTAAAAGTGTTTGGAAGTGCTAGTATTATGTCTGGCAGAAAATTGCTGTACCTTGTTGGTTGGTTAAGTGCCTGTTTTTTAAGGCCATAAGTTCTTGAACCGTCTTTATTAAATGTCAGCACGTCTGTTTTTGTGTGTGGCGCGGCTTGTCTGTGTAGTTTTGTCTATTGAATACTTTAAACTGTTTTTTAAAAGATTATGAACAGTTACAAATTGCAGTCAGCGTTAATCTGTGTGTGCTCATTCCTTGTCAGTTTGTTATGATGTGTATTGTCATTTGTTGGAACTGGCCCTTCCGTTGTAGTTCCTTTTCTTCTTCTTCTTCTTCTTCTTCTTCTTCTTCTTCTTCTTCTTCTTCTTCTTCTTCTTCTTCTTCTTCTTCTTCTTCTTCTTCTTCTTCTTCTTCTTCTTCTTCTTCTTTCTTCTTCTTCTTCTTCTTCTTCTTCTTCTTCTTCTTCTTCTTCTTCTTCTTCTTCTTCTTCTTCTTCTTCTTCTTCTTCTTCTTCTTCTTCTTCTTCTTCTTCTTCTTCTTCTTCTTCTTCTTCTTCTTCCGCTTCCTCCTCCTCTTCTTCTTTCTCTTCTTCTTCTTCTTCTTCTTCTTCTTCTTCTTCTTCTTCTTCTTCTTCTTCTTCTTCTTCTTCTTCTTCTTCTTCTTCTTCTTCTTCTTCTTCTTCTTCTACTACTTCTTCCTCCTCCTCCTCTTCCTCTTCCTCCTCTTCCGCTTCCTCCTCCTCTTCTTTTTCCTCTTCTTCTTTTTCTTCTTCTTCTTCTTCTTCTTTTGCGTTTGCCCCTCTAAGGACAGTTGGGACGCTGTATTGTGATTAACAACTAGTCTGTAATATCTGTTTGCATCCCCCCTCCCCCATCACACACAGTTTAACAAAATTTGTATTACGACATGTTTATTAAACAGCAGTGGGTCTATTCTCTTGGCGCCCCCCCCCCCCCCCTATCCCACATGCAGCTTCGGAACCCATAGGAAAGATGTAATGCTGTTGAGTCCTTATCTTAGAACGTTAAATGTTTTATCCACTACTGTAAGGGGTGGGGCAGCCAGGGTTATAGAATCCTGGAATGGCGGGGCGATCATGCCTCTCCCCAATCTGCGAACTTCAATAGCATGTGCAAGGTCGTGTACTGACACTCCTCTATTCCATTACAAAAGCTGTTAAGAATCTGTTTTCTTCTGTCTCCTTCACCCCCATAGATATTTCCAGTGGTCCTAACATGTTCCAGTTTCCTTCTTCTCAGATTAGGACTAGAAGTGATGACTGTCTCTTTCTGCTAAGCATCTGGATTGTCTAGTAAAATACCTTTTCCCACATCTCCGACGTATTGGGCCTATAGTTGCGAGATCTAAATTTTATAGACCAACCCGCCCTCTGTGTGTGATGTGGTCAATGACACACCGGCCACCTTTACTGGACTTTATCTGGTACCAATTTAAGGCTGGGTCGACCTGGAAGCTAAGTTTTTGAACAAGTCTGCCACTGTTCGGACCTGAATCTTCGACGGTAAGTTTTATCCGCTACAGTATGGCGGGCCGCCGTGAGTCTAGTACCAAATTAAACAGAGTTCTTCTATCTTTCTACTTCTTTCTTTGAGTGCCGTTCACAATACTTTCTGTTACTTGATTAATTTATAGTACCAAATTATAATCACATGCAGAGCCTGGCCTTGCACATCATCACGTTTTGCAAAACGTCGCTGTCATCACGGTCTGCCTGAATTGAAAGAAACTCGGCCTCTCGCCAGCTCTCCCGCCTCATGTACTTTCATACTCGAGGGGTCACTTATATCATGTACTCATCTTCCTTGCGGTCGGTCCCTGCGCCTCCTTCCTGGTACCATGCTTTCTGCTATAATTATTTCCAATCCGTCGTGGCGCTTGATGTGACCAAAATATTTCAGCTTCCGAGACAGGATGCTGTTTTAAAGCCAATCTTCCTAGATGTACAGATCTTTCAAAATGTCATTATTTCTCCTCTTCTTTGTCTAAGATATTCTCAGAATCTTTCTATAGCATTTCAGCTCAAAAGCCGCTATTCTCTTTAATATGGACTGTGAGATAGTCCACGACTCTCACAGAATTAAAAAAAATTTCCTTCCTTTGGAACTCACGGGAGTTCAAAAGATCGTCAGGGTCTGAAGAGAATGGAGCAACGGAGAATGACCTGGCTGACACATATAACACACAAAGGAAAACCAATATGGACATAAGTCACACCGCTACTGTTGCCAACGGAATTGGAACTCTGCGCTGGCTGCAGAAGATAAAGACCGGAGTGCTTACGTGAATGTCGGGACTCCCTGTAATGTCGGTTTTTAACTTAGCGCAACTCAACTCTGTTGGAACTCACTTGACATAAGAAATGAAGGGAAACATGTATACACAAGGAAAAAAGAATTCGACACAGAGTTTGGGGGGAAAAGGGTGTGGGAGCTCCTGGAATATAGCAACAACACATAGCAGGGCTTAGTTGATTGAGGGCCTGTGTTCCATTGGGATATAAAAAGTGCAAGAATTTATGGGACTGGAACAAGCAGACAACAGAGGAAATAGCATGAGCCCAAAATATCACAAGCATTGCACTTTAAAATAAACAGTACAGTGTGTTACATAATAGCTCGCTGAAAAGACAAACAACCAGGAAATAATTAGCCTAATTATAATCTAACTAAGGTGTAACGGGTTAGTTATTGGGTTGTTTCTCCCCCTCTCTGTTCTCGGTAGTTCTGTCCGTCTCTCACTCACGCAAAACACCACACCACATACACACGTTTGCACTTTCCAACTGCGGGGAAGTAAATTAACAAATGTGCCTACTCCTGAAGACTTAGATTTATCTGGATATAGTAAAATGAACAGCAACTCTTATAACAGGAATTAAATAGTGTCAGAATTAGTGATGCAGAAATTTGGGAGAGAACTTAACAAATTCCAGTGAATCAAAAGGTGAGAGGAGAAGATGGTGTTGGATATCACATTAAATAAACCGGATAACGGTATAATTAGTATGTGTCTGCATTGAACCCCACAGGATCAAAGGAATAAAGACAGACTGAAAAACATGGAGAAAGGTACTAGAGAACGAAGTGAAAAAGATGTTGAGAATATAAGTTGTGCTGGATGCTGTAGCAAAGGGTAGGGATACTTGGCATTAGTTGGTTTAGGGCCTATTTTCTGTTGATGATAAAGAGCATAAGAAAAATTAAAGAGAAAGAATAGTTTAAAATAGTCACTTAAATTGAATGTTTGATTAGGAATCCACATCCAGCACTCAGGACACTCCAATAAGCACTCTGTCCCCATGTTCAGCAGCAAGTGCAAAGTTGAAATTCCGATAGCACCATTAATAGTCTGATTGTATATTTATCTTGCCTTTCCCATGAGTGTTGAGCATGGATCACATGCTGGGTCACTCGTCACAGCACCAGTTTTTCCAGACCATGAGAGTCTTTTTGTGCCCCTGCATTGTTAACTCATTCAAAATGGATCCTTACAACCTCTAGCTTGTCACACATCAGTTCATCCCGAAATGGTGAAGAACAAGCCAGTTTATCTGGGTATTCGTTTCCAAACATCAGGATGACACAGAAAATATCTAAATGATGCTAACTAACCTGGGACCTCAGCAGTGATGTATGCCACTCTGCACAGAGCATACCTGTATCCACCTTTCTGAACAGGGGGCTGCATGGTCTCGAGGCATGTTGTCCACCTCGAGTGCTAGAGGTTCCTGGTTTAATCCCTGGTATGGGCTGGGATTTTTTAAAGTGCACTTGGACTTCTAGTAATTTCCTCTGGTCTCTGGGTAGTGAGATCAGATGCCCATGTGCATTGTTGCACACTTAAAAAATTCCTCGACAGTTGGAAATTGAAAAGAGGAGCCTAGCAGCGCTGCCCGGGCAAAAGTATTTCAGGATCCTTGCCGGTGCTACAGAGCCTGTGCACTGTGCTGAGCTTCTTCGGACTCAGGCTTGAATTAGAAGAATGGAGCACTTATGGGTTACTACCTGTGTGCCATGATGTTGAACATGCTCTGTGAGTCAATTACAACATGTGTATAAACTTCACCTGCTTATAGTTTATTAATAATTGTGTCAGTTTATTCAGTTTATTTCCATCTTTCAGCTCCATACATTTGTATACAGTTATAACATATATTCTGTGATCTTCTCTCACTTGCACCCTTTTTGGTGTTTTCAGATGGATGGAGGGGAAAGTGTCAGATCTGGGAGGAGTGAAAGGTCAGAGAGGTCACATCGGAGCCATGGAAGTAATCACCATGGAAATGGAGGATATCAACGCCAGTATGCTAGACCACAGGTCAGTAGCAGCTCCTCTGCGACTTGCTGGATGTCACTACGACTGCATCTTCCACCAACATTACTGTTACTATCACTACTGATGTTTCTACAACCGCTACTTTAACACCACTGCTGCTGCTGTCACTACTGCTCCTTCCTCAGCCACTTTTCCTACTGTCACTACTAATACTGCCACCACCACTATTGCTACTACCACCATGCTAATGCTTCTTCAGATGCCAGTACAATTACTTCAGCTGCTACCCCTGCTATATCCAGCACTACTGCTGTATCTTCACCATTGCTGCAGGTTAACCACAATTACTGCTATTTGTCCCAACACTTCAGCCTTATCTTCAACATTACTGCTGCATCCCCCAACATTTTTGCTTTATCTCCAACATTGCTCCTGCATCCCCCAACATTTATGCTTTATCTCCAACATTACTAATGCACCCCCAACATTTTTGCGTTATCTCCAACATTACTCCTGCATCCCCCAACATTTATGCTTTATCTCCAACATTACTGCTGCATCCCCCAACATTTTTGCTTTATCTCCAACATTAATCCTGCATCCCCCAACATTTTTGCTTTATCTCCAGCATTACTGCTGCATCCCACATTTCTGCTTTATTTCCAACATTACTCCTGCATCCCCCAACATTTCTGCTTTATTTCCAACAATACTCCTGCATCCCCCAACATTTATGCTTTTTCTCCAACATTACTGCTGCATCCCCCAACATTTATGCTTTATCTCCAGCATTACTCCTGCATCCCCCAACATTTATGCTTTATCTCTAACATTACTGCTGCATCCCCCAACATTTTTGCGTTATCTCCAACATTACTGCTGCATCCCCCAACATTTATGCTTTATCTCTAACATTACTCCTGCATCCCCCAACATTTTTGCTTTATCTCCAACATTACTGCTGCATCCCCCAACATTTTTGCTTTATCTCCAACATTACTGCTGCATCCCCCAACATTTATGTTTTATCTCTAACATTACTGCTGCATCCCCCAACATTTTTGCGTTATCTCCAACATTACTCCTGCATCCCCCAACATTTATGCTTTATCTCTAACATTACTCCTGCATCCCCCAACATTTTTGCTTTATCTCCAACATTACTGCTGCATCCCCCAACATTTTTGCTTTATCTCCAACATTACTGCTGCATCCCCCAACATTTATGCTTTATCTCCAACATTACTGCTGCATCCCCCAACATTTATGCTTTATTTCCAACATTACTGCAGCATCCCACAACATAACTGCTAAATCCCTAGTTTTTAAGTTAGGACGCATGGGTAAAAGATTGGGAGGAGTTTTCACCTGAAATGGTCAGCACTAAGTAGGCACTGAGAAACATGAGAATGAAACAGGAAACAGTCTTAACATTTTGTTGTCACTGAGTAATACACTTAAACAGTCTCAATGTTGTGTAGTCACATAAGGTTCTTTTTAAACAGTCTCAACCGTGTGTGGTCATATAAGGGTACACTTAAACATTCTCAACATTATTTAGTCATATAAGGGTACACTAAACAGTCTCACCATTGTGTAGTCATATAAGGATGCAGTCTCACCATTGTTGATTGATTTGATTCAAGAACCGACATCGCAGCACTCGGGGAATTCCCATAAGTGCTCTGTCCCCATCTTCAGTAGCCAGCAAAGAACTCTGATACTAATGATTTCAGTAGCATTCTTATTAAACGCCCGTCTTGCCTTTCCTCTGAGCTTCAAGCATCTGCCAGAACCTCTCGTCCTCACTGCATCAATCTCACCAGACTGGTGATCCATCTGCTTCTCCAAACTGTACATGCTCTCCCACAAGGCACTAACCACGTCTGCCTTATCATGCATTAGTATTTCACCAAGTTATGCAAAGCCAGCCAATCTGTCTGCCTTTTCATTTCCCAACACACCAGCTTGCCCCGGTGAACAAATCCAGACAGTACTCCTCACCCATGTCCTCTGCAGCGAGGCATGCCACTCTACACAAAGCATGCCTGTCCTGATCTTCCTCAGCATGCTTTCTGAATCAGTTACAGTCACGATGTTGTGTGTTTGTGTGTCGTGTTCTCTAACCAGCGGAAAGCTGCAGTGACCACCTCCACTCCCATTCTTAAGCTGGATGTTGTGGTATCATATGCAAGGTTCTCCTGCACCAAACCTCAATCATTAACCTTTACTAAGAAACCCCAAGCACTTCTTTTGCCTCTTGACACTGAACTGTCAGTGTAAATGATCACATCTTCTGAGCGAGCATTATCTTGAATTAATTGCTGGATATTCACCTCTGTGGCACATGCTGGCCAATCTCTGCATTCCCGTCTCAGTGTGATTATGACCCTACACAAGTCTGACTGTTCAGGTGGAACTTTGACCCACTCCTCTCCTCGCCTAATGTTCTCAAGGTCGCAAACCTGTATGATTGTGTCTTCTGCCTGAGCCATCCAAGACTTCCATCTTATCAGCCGCTGACCCTTAACTGCACCCAGATCTTCGTGCAAAGGGTGGTCTGTGCCTGCAGCTACCCTGAGATATGACTTTACCTGCAGCACCTTGTGCTTACCTGCAACAGTAGGCAAACCAAGGATGTATCGCATACACAGCGCTGGGGTGTCTCTGGTGCAAGCCAGAATGACCCGCATAGCTGCGTTCTGTATGCGCTCTAGTTTGTCCATCTGACTCTTTGAGACGGTAAACAGTCCCAGGCCATAATCAACCACTGACAGGATCAGGTGCTAATATAGTGTGAAAAGCATTCTCTGCTGTATGTCAATTGCAGCCATAGTCTTAAGTGCACTGAGTCCTTTTTGGCATCTTGTCACAATACTCTCCACCTGGTCCTTAAAAGACAGGCTCCTGTCAAATGTTATTTCCAGATACTTCAGTTTGCTCTCTCTGTTGATGTTTCTACTATCTATCATGAGACTTGGGACGACGGGTGGACGACAGCACTAATTGTATACACCACTCAGTAACTTTGTCCACTGTCGCTTGTAGCTCCCGGGCTGTTTGTTCCCTCTCTTCCCCATGCCTATATACAAGTATATCATCCACAAAAGTCAGTATCCTTCCAACTCCTGGTGCTTCTAGGCTTGCAATTTTGCTCGTATACATGTTAAAGAGCACAGGTTAGATTGTGGATCCCTGTGGCTGTCCTAAGGCCAAACTGCATGGTTCTGACGTCAGTGAGCCCAGTCAGAGAGCAACCTGACATGAATACAGGACAGCTGCAGTCCAGTTCACCAGCCATGGACTGACCTTATTCTTCTTCAGTGCAGTCATTAAGATGTCATATCTTACTCTGTTATAAGCATCCTCGAGATCCAGGGCTACTGCCATAGTTTCTTGTGTTCTGGAACCCTTCATAGACGTCAAAAGCAAAAGTGGCCCCATTTGCCCAAGTGTCCTTTCCTGGCCTGTAGCTTCCTAGACCTCTTGGGAGAAGCTTTCCCCTTTCCAAAAATTCTTGCAGCTTTACAGCAACTATCTTCTCCAAGACTTTCCCAAATGTGTTTTGTAAGGTGGTGGTTCTCAAGCCACTGAGCTTTTAATGATCCTTAAAACCTTTTGGTAGTTTGATTAGATAGCTGTGCACCCAGTCCTGCGGTACTGATGCTGTCTTAATGCTCTGGTTAAAACAGTCGGCCATCTCTGCCAGGTCTGCTTCGCTCAAAACCTTCATGTGGCCATACCTGACCCTATCAGGCCCTGTTTGATATCTTCTACTCGTATCATGTCTTCATAGTGCATATTCTTTAAGGTGCCAGCTAACTCCTCTTTAACTACATCTCTGATGTCTACATCATTATGATCTGTCTGAGCTATAAACCTATGGAGAAAAGCCTCCCCTTTCTCCTTGTCTGTTGTCATACGCACACCATCGTCTCTATAAATTGTTCCCACTGTCATAGGCCGATCTTTTATTTGCATCTGCCTTTGCAGTTTCCAGAATTTCCTTAATGTTTTATTGCTTCCCATATCATTCACAGAAGTTTCCCACTTAGCTCCTTTGGCCTGTGCAGCACTGCTTTAAAACCTCCACCTTATCTTTTTTCACATTCTCTGGCATCTCCACTTCCTCTTGTGAGCTTGAAGGTGTCTGTCGTACTTTCTTTAGCTGCTTTACATGCGGCTCTGTTTGCCTCCCACCCTTGTGTAGTCATATAAGCTATCTAGGTAACTCCCTGCTTTGTAAATTTAAATGTAGCTGAGGATCGACGAAGTAAGAAAGGTACACTTTCTACAGCGCTCAAGCACTCTTGAATTCAGAGTAAATATATGTGGTCTGCAGGCAGCATTGCATCTGTTAAAATAAAGAGAATGAGCAGAGTAAGAAAGTTTGTATCTACAGCATTCAAGCACTCTTGAACTTAGAGTAAATATTTGTGGTTTGCAGGCACCCTCACGCCCTGGAAGCAACAGAGCCATGTCCAGAAATCAAGGCCATGACTATGAAAGAGAAGATCGGTCTGTCACTATTAAAACACCAGGGCAAGATGCAGACATGGAGAGGGGAGGAGAAGAGGAGAGAATAGAAGTACAGGTAAGACACGGAGAGGGGAGGAGAAAAGGAGTGAACATGTAATATTTGTTTATCTTATCTGTTCATTTGTTCATTGTTCAAGAGCATCTTCACTGCATGTCTGCAAATTAATATCTTAGTGGGTTTCCACTGATGATTCCTGTTCTATTTTGGTTGATGTAGTTACTGTGAGCGCTTAAGTGGTTTTCATGTCATTCTGCTCTGACTGGTATACCTAGACTTAGATCTGAGTCAGAGGCAAATCAGTATCCTTTTGTTGGAGGTCCAGCATGTGTTATCATTTACTTAGGTTTCATTATGTTCATTCCATTTAAAGAAGATCACTTCCTGGGATATTATTGCCTGCAAGGGCCTACACTCATGGGTCTAAATAAGTAGTATTCATACAGCTAAGGGTAGCTGACTGACAAGAAGATAGCTTTGGACCACATAAGATACAATTAGATATACATACATACATACTTTTTAAAAAAGTGGGCAAGGAAAAAATTCCAATCACGTTGGGCCGTGAGTGCAGGGAGAAGCCAGTGGCCACTGCAGAATCAGAAATTTAACAACTGATTCATTACTTTTTCCACAAAGGTAATTACCTGTTCAGATCACTATGTTGAAAAGCAGAAAAAGTGCAAGGGGGTTCATAGCAAAAGTGTAAGTGAAGGGACAACACTTTTTGTAACAAAGGAACCGCTGCAGTATAGTGGCTAGACACCGTCTGCTAGCCCAGAGGTTCATTTCCGCATCACAGCAGGTTTCTTCTTCTTCAAAAATGACCGAGGCTGTCAGGCAAAAATTGCCTGGAATGGGTACCAGATAATGTACTGGAATGTAAAGGTGGTTTGGTGTGATATTGACGACATCACCCACAAAGTGCAGACTGGTGTATAAAAATATAAGTCTGGCATCGTACACCCAGTGTGCTACTGATGCCACTGGCATCATACACCCAGTGTGCCACTGGCATCATACACCCAGTGTGCCACTGGCATCATACACCTAGTGTGCTACTGGCATCATACACCCAGTGTGCCACTGGCATCATACACCCAGTGTGCCACTGGCATCATACACCCAGTGTGCTACTGGCATCATACACCCAGTGTACTACAGGCATCATACAACCAGTGTGCCACTGGCATCATACACCCAGTGTGCCACTGGCATCATACACCCAGTGTGCTACTGATGCCACTGGCATCATACACCCAGTGTGCCACTGGCATCATACACCCAGTGTGCCACTGGCATCATACACCTAGTGTGCTACTGGCATCATACACCCAGTGTGCCACTGGCATCATACACCCAGTGTGCCACTGGCATCATACACCCAGTGTGCTACTGGCATCATACACCCAGTGTGCTACAGGCATCATACAACCAGTGTGCCACTGGCATCATACACCCAGTGTGCCACTGGCATCATACACCCAGTGTGCCACTGGCATCATACACCCAGTGTGCTACTGGCATCATACACCCAGTGTGCCACTGGCATCATACACCCAGTGTGCCCCTGGCATCATACACCCAGTGTGCTACTGGCATCATACACCCAGTGTGCTACTGGCATCATACACCCAGTGTGCCACTGGCATCATACACCCAGTGTGCTACTGGCATCATACACCCAGTGTGCCACTGGCATCATACACCCAGTGTGCTACTGGCATCATACACCCAGTGAGCTACTGGCATCATACACCCAGTGTACCACTGGCATCATACACCCAGTGTGCTACTGGCATCATACACCCAGTGTGCCACTGGCATCATACACCCAGTGTGCTACTGGCATCATACACCCAGTGTGCTACTGGCATCATACACCCAGTGTGCTACTGGCATCATACACCCAGTGTGCCACTGGCATCATACACCCAGTGTGCTACTGGCATCATACACCCAGTGTGCCACTGGCATCATACACCCATTGTGCCACTGGCATTATACACCCAGTGTGCTACTGGCATCATACACCCAGTGTGCTACTGGCATCATACACCCAGTGTGCTACTGGCATCATACACCCAGTGTGCCACTGGCATCATACACCCAGTGTGCTACTGGCATCATACAACCAGTGTGCCACTGGCATCATACACCCAGTGTGCCACAGGCATCATACACCCAGTGTGCTACTGGCATCATACACCCAGTGTGCCACTGGCATCATACACCCAGTGTGCCACTGGCATCATACACCCAGTGTGCTACTGGCATCATACACCCAGTGTGCCACTGGCATCATACACACAGTGTGCTACTGGCATCATACACACAGTGTGCTACTGGCATCATACACCCAGTGTGCTACTGGCATCATACACCCAGTGTGCCACTAGCATCATACACCCAGTGTGCTACTGGCATCATACACCCAGTGTGCTACTGGCATCATACACCCAGTGTGCTACTGGCATCATACACCCAGTGTGCCACTGACATCATACACCCAGTGTGCCACTGGCATCATACACCCAGTGTGCCACTGGCATCATACACCCAGTGTGCCACTGGCATCATACACCCAGTGTGCCACTGGCATCATACACCCAGTGTGCCACTGGCATCATACACCCAGTGTGCTACTGGCATCATACACCCAGTGTGCTACTGGCATCATACACCCAGTGTGCCACTAGCATCATACACCCAGTGTGCTACTGGCATCATACACCCAGTGTGCTACTGGCATCATACACCCAGTGTGCTACTGACATCATACACCCAGTGTGCCACTGGCATCATACACCCAGTGTGCCACTGGCATCATACACCCAGTGTGCCACTGGCATCATACACCCAGTGTGCCACTGGCATAGAAAGGGTCTTTTAGTTTTCTTTTTACTGAGCAACAAAATTTAGTTTCAGAATGGGGGTTGAGGCATTGACTGCAGGTTTTTGCTGGATGAGAACCAGCTGCAGAAACATGTCATAACTGAAATAGGCTCAAAGCATGTTGAGAAAGTGGAGACAGGCATGCTCCATACAGAGTGGCAAGTATCACTTCAGAGGTACCATGTAGTTAACATCTCTTGGATATTTTCTGTAACATATGCGGGTTTGTTAGGAAATGAACATGCAGGCAAATATAGTGGCTGGTTCTGCCAAACTTGATAGTGAGTTGCTGCAGGGCTAGCTAGAGATATTATAAAGGGTGACTAAGTAGAGATGTTTCATTTAAAGTCGGAATGTATCTCTCTGAGGGACAAGGAACCAACAGTCTGCCTCACTTGATAGTGAGTTGCTGCAGGGCTAGCTAGAGATATTATAAAGGGTGACTAAGTAGAGATGTTTCATTTAAAGTCGGAATGTATCTCTCTGAGGGACAAGGAACCAACAGTCTGCCTCACTTGATAGTGAGTTGCTGCAGGGCTAGCTAGAGATATTATAAAAGGTGACTAAGTAGAGATGTTTCATTTAAAGTCGGAATGTATCTCTCTGAGGGACAAGGAACCAACAGTCTGCCTCACTTGATAGTGAGTTGCTGCAGGGCTAGCTAGAGATATTATAAAGGGTGACTAAGTAGAGATGTTTCATTTAAAGTCGGAATGTATCTCTCTGAGGGACAAGGAACCAACAGTCTGCCTCACTTGATAGTGAGTTGCTGCAGGGCTAGCTAGAGATATTATAAAAGGTGACTAAGTAGAGATGTTTCATTTAAAGTCGGAATGTATCTCTCTGAGGGACAAGGAACCAACAGTCTGCCTCACTTGATAGTGAGTTTGCTGATTTGGAATGAAAGCAAGACAGAAAAAAACCGTATTCCTCCAAAAATGAGCTCCACTTCCTCTAGTTTTTTGAAATTGTGCAGCATTGAAATCCAATTTAAAGAAGGAACCTTGCACCACATTTTAGTGTAAGAAATAAATTCAGGAACTAGTAGACATTATGACTGTAGTCATTTGTTGTGTCTTCTCGCAGGTAATACCACAGGATGACAACTGGGGAGACAACACCACAGCCATCACAGGAAACACCAGCGAGACGGGATTCTCTACTGAAGACCTCACTAAGTTTGTGATCAAGGATGATAGACAGGTGTTTGCTCCCATATTGCTGTAGTTGTCGTAAGGTTATTATGTTATGCTGTGGGAACCTCCTTTTTAAAGCAGAGTGTTGAATTGAGAATCAAGTCACAGCACTCGGGACACTCCCATAAGTGCTCAGTCCCCATCTTCAGCAGCAAGCGAAGAGTTACAGTTCTGATGGTGCCAGTAACTGTCTGATTGTATATCCGTCTCATCCTTCCCCTGAGTGTTGAGCGTCGGCCAGATCCCCTGGTAACTCCTCACAGCGCCATTCTCTTCACTGTAATGATCCATCTGCACCTATTTAAAGCAGAAAGCCTGGGCATTATTCTAGTGACCATATGTTGCCCATGCAACATGTGTTCCCTTTTCCTATCTGCCTTGTTTACTTCCTGCAAAAGGTAACACCAATAAATTTGGAACATAGCCTGCTGCAGAAACAGCTGATTCAGAAGAGCAGCGCTCTGTTCGTCCTGTTGTCGGAGCTTTCTTCCTAGATCAGCTGTTAAATAAGGCTGAGGATCTGGCCCGCCCTACAGTAATGTCAAGTTTTCAGACTGCACTTTCTCTTCCTAGGATAAGACTGTTATCCTCTTCAGCGTGCTCCGCTGTCTGAAACCTGTGATAGAGTTACTAACCTCATGTATCATGTTATTTCATTATTGATTGATTTATTTATTGTTACTTAATTTGTAATATTTTTCTTGACCAATTTATCATGATATATGTATTTAACATATCATGTTTTATTGACTCGTCTATTTATCATAACGTTTTTTACTAATTTATCATGATTTTCTGGATTCTTCTGTTTATCATGACATTTTTTAAACCTTATTTATCATGTTTTTCAGACTTATCTGTTTTTCATGATATTTTCTTGCTTATTTCATACTGATAGCAGAGTGGTCAGTGTCTCATATTAGTATGTTGCTACAGGAATATTTATGCTCTCAAAAATTACCTTAATTGTGTCAAATTCTCTTAATACTGTTTCATTACTTATTATATGTTTTTATTTTTCATGTTCCTTTTACAGTAATCTTTTTTCTAAGCTCAATTGTTTTTTTCTATTTGTCTACCTTTTTTTTTTTAACTCTTTGAATCCCAGGGGGTTTAGCATCAAAGGCCCAAGGGGCAGTCAAGAGAGAAGTAAAATCGGCACATCTTGCGTATATTGGGCTTCTAGGTAGGAATCTATGAACGTATGATGCGTTCCTTGGGACTCAAAGAGTTAACCTTGTTTTTTAAAGTGTTACCCAGAGATAAGACCTAACCCAAAAATATGCTCTAGCATGTCTCTCTTCCCCCCCCCCCCCCCCCCCCCCCCCCCCCCCCAGGATGCTCATTTATACAAACCTTACTTTAAATATAAACCCTAGTTAGAATTGTTTGCTAGATGGACAGATTTTGTTCATCCTTTGAAACATGACGGACGTGTTGAACTATAAAGTAACAGGTATATAAATAAATAATAATATTCACCATATTACTTGAGGTAAATGTATTTTTTTTTTTTTTTAAATGTAGATTTTTGTACAAAGAATTTTTTTGGGAGGTACAGAAAACAGATTTTTATGAAAAAAAAAAAAATTAAAAATTCCCTGAAAATAAGTCCTAAGGCAAAAATTAATAAACAACCCAGTCTTATTCTTGGTGGAAACGGGTTGTGTGCCATCTTATTTCTTTGTGTATTTATTATCTTATTTCGTACTGTTTTCTTCTTCTTCTGGTTTGTTCTTTATGTTACCTTTACGCTGGTTTATTTGTCATCCTATTCCTATTTGTATGTTTATTTATTTCTCCTGGGGCCCCATTGTGGTTGCAGAAAGGGGGCGGGGGATAGAGCCACTTACCCCTTACATACATGCCATAAAGGTCAACTAATTAGGGGTGTTTCCTTTTAGAGTCAGGGGGAATCTGCTTGAGAGACGAGGAACCAGCAGTCTGCATACCACTCAGCCAGATCTGTTAAACAGATGTGCACACAGAAATCAAGTTCTGGAACAAGGCTAATGTCCAGAATTGGACGAACAACTAGAACTTTTTACCAGTGTATACAGCCACAAAGAAGATTTTTTTCTATACCTAATTATTTTGTCATAAATAAATTAAATGCAACTAAAAGGAAGCTCCTTCTTTTATCAGCTGTGTACAGTTTTGGTTCTTTCCTAATATCCTTCCCCAGATGACGTCATAGGACAGTCCACCATTTTAGAGGGTAGTAAGGCTGGGTTTTCCGGCTTTCTGATGCTTTTTAATGGCCCCAAAACATCTAGAACTGGCCCTAACCCCAACTCAGCCACATCCCTACGAAAGAATGCAGCCTAGGTCCCACGACTGCATGCAGCCTAGGTCCCACTTCTATATGCAACCTATCTACCACCCCCTGAAATATTAGACTGTCCCGTGACCAGTGGATTTCCCCTGTTTGGGGTAGGATATTAAGATAGTACCCAGTTTTCTACAGTTTTAAAAATCTTTATTTCAGGTTGGGGTTAACTGTGCCAGACATGTTGGCACGGCCTTGACCATCGGCCTGAGCGTCCTAGCCTTCCTATCACCAATTGCCATGCTGCTGCTGCCAAAACTGAACATTGTCCAGTTTCGGGAGGACATCGAAGGTGCCTCGGAGTGTCGGCCCGAATGTGAGGGACTGTTGATCAGCTTTGCCTTCAAGCTGCTTGTCTTACTTGTAGGAGCTTTGGCTCTGTTTTTCAGGAAGGTACTTTGTTGATTATATTTATGATGTGTTGGTCCACATTCAATTACTCTAGCTCCCAGTTTGGGTTCTAGGAGGGGGGGGGGGGGGGGGGGTTTTAATCCACTGTCCCTTAACAAGCATGTTGTGAAAGTCTACTAATTAGGGATGTTTTCTTCTACGTCATAGTGCATCTACCAAGAGTGATGAACCAAACGTCTGCATATAAATAACCCAGATCATTACAACGGATGTGCATGCAAAACTCAAGTTCTGGAACAAGACCAAAGTCCAGAAGTAGACAAATAATTAAAACTTTCCGCAGAAGTTTACAGTCAGTGAACACGAGGAAGAAGATTACCCCAGCAGAAGCAAGGTTTGTGTATGACCTGCGCAGCAGCAGGATTGGGCCAACCTCATGTAGATGGGTACCAAAGCATTTTAAAGGAATTGTCTCAAAAAGAAAAATGACAAAGAAGAAAACTGACACCCTTGCCATATGCCAGAAAGAAGCTGTTGAAAAAAGGTCAATATATACAGCTATAAAGAAAAGACGAGCATGTTCTTTGGTCATGTGATGATTGGGGAGGCTTTGGAGAATATTGTGACTGGGATAATCACTGGTAGAAGAGGGAGATGATAATGGATGGATTGTGACGGGTGGGTTTTGAGTTATGTAAGAGGTGGAACTGATTCAGAGGACAAGGACCAAGATCTGTGAAGATATATGAGCACCTACGTCAGTTGGCAGGGCTCATGATGTTTAAAATAATGCTGTTTGCCATAGCCTAAGTTATGTAAGGGCTCAATACTTTACCACTTAAAGGCAATATATGCTGTGGGAATAATACCCTTATTAGAGATTGCTTTATTTGACAGAATAACAACTAGAACCATCATGAGTAGAGTGAGGTAATGTATATATTCACATGCTTTAGGATATTTGTAAACATATGGGTAGTGGGTAATGTAAGAGCGACTTTATTTCAAGACAGTATGGTATGTAATAATCATTGCATGAAAAAAAAAGCTAATGAAACAAATGCACAAAGAAATAGATCAGTCGGCCAAAAAAGTTAAGATATTGCAGCTTTACTGTAGCAGGCACAACACAGTTACGTCCACACGAAAAAGACTAAATAAAGAAGCAACCTATAGAGTTTGTAATTGATAGTATTGGTGTGGTATGAGCAGTTTGAGATCACAGGTCAACTCAGGTAGTTTAGCAGTGTTTAAATTATTTGTCTTGTTGGTGCCGTACCTGCAGTTTGGTTCATGCAACAGATCTATGTAAAATATTAGATGGTTCTTTTTGTTATTGTCCTGAACAGCCTCGAGCGACCATGCCCAGAGTGTTTGTATTCCGAGCCATCGTCTTGTTTCTGGTGTTTGTTCTCACATTTGCCTTCTGGCTGTTCTATGGGGTTCGAGTCTTCAAGGAGCAACAGGGCACTTATGAGGTATGGAAGTCCATGTAACACCAGTGTGAATTAATTTTGTTTTCCTATTTTTATTTGTTTAATTTTGTTCTCTCCTCTGCTTACCTTCTTTTCCTCTTTTTACTTCACTCTTGATATATTGTGATTGTAGGTGAGCGAAGATAGGACATAAAATGAGCCTGCATGGTGGGGGATGTTGTGGTTTTACTCTTTAAATGGTTGAGATATGTTTTCACTCAAGATTTGTTGGTAGAGCAGTTGAAGAACCAGATAGAGGGATTGGGGGAGAGAGAGGAAAGGTGTTTAGGAGACACCAGTGAGAGAGAGAGAGAAATAGCATATTAAATAGGTAAGAAGAGAGAAGGATGTCCATAGAGTGTGAAAAGGAGTGATTAAAGAAGTTGCTTTCTTATATTTCACTACCCTCCACACAACCCTCACATTTATTCTTTGTCTACTCCATCCACACATCTCTTGTGTGTCTATCTACACTACCCTCACAGCTTTTGTTTGTCTACTCCATCTACACAGCCCTCACATATCCTGCTTACACTTCACAGCCCTTCACACAACCCTCATATTTCTTGCTTGGTTTTTCTGCTCCTGCACACTGTCATCCCAATTCTTTTTTTCTCTACTTCCTTCATACAGCCCTCAGATTTCTTGATTGTTTTCGCTACTTTCTTCACTTTTCTGGCTTTTTGTTTTTGTTTTTTAATCAAACTCCTCTACAAAGAGCCCACACATTTCTGACTTTTTTCCCTACCCCCTGACAGGGAATTGTCACGTTTGCCCTGTCTCTGGTGGATAGCCTTCTGTTTGTCCACTATGTGGCCATCATCCTCCTGGAGATCAGGCAGCTACAGCCTCAGTTTGCCATCAAGGTTGTGAGGTCCCCAGATGGGGAGTCCAAGGTGTACAGTGTTGGACTTCTCAGCATCCAGAGGGCAGCCGTGCATATATTGGAGCAGTACTATACAGATTTTGAAGTAAGCTTCTCTTGCCAACTGGCTATTGTATCTTTTTCTTTTCTTCTTATTTCATTTTGTTTGTTATTTATTGTGAATCTGTCTTTATTGGCAAAATTTACTATGAGGAGGGTCAGAGAGAAGGGGGGGGGGGAAGGGTCCTCCTGTGAGTCTGAAGGTTTAGGACTGCATGGCTAATGGACATCTAAATGGGTACCCTAGAGGAATAATCAGATGTCACAGCACCCCACCTAATTTAACTCCCAGTGTAAACAACAGCTTTATAACTGCAAGTATTTATCCAGTTAACATTTTGAGGAGATGACGTCATGCAGTTTCTGCAGGACAGACTAAAAACAGTTACCGGTCAAATATTTTTTGGCCACTGTCTCAGTAGTGAGGTACAAGACCACTCCCAACTCTACCACACCTGTTGAAGAACTAGTATCTCAGTACACCAAATTCAAATGTATTTTATCAGTTTACATGTAATGCCAGTCGACTTACATCAGTCGAATGGAGAGACAGCTTGAAAAAGGAGAGACAACATATCCCTAAATGGCTCCCCACACACAGTTGCAACATGATCAGCCAAGAAGAAAGAACCAGATTCTGCGATAGAATGTCATTTGTTGACTCTTAACACTTAGTTGATAAGGATTTGCCTTTTAAGATTATTTACCACGTTTTCTAAAAGTTGCTGAGACTGTATAAAAAAAACTGAACTCTTTTCTATGTTATGTAAACAAAAGGATCATGTAATAAATTTGGAATTACCCTGGCAGTCACATGACTGATCTTGAATTTCCGGTGGAGAGATGTACAGTAACTTGACAATGTGGTTTATGCATTTTGGTAAAAAAGATTCATAGTTATGCTTCACTGTATGTTGTTTTAACTCTCTTGTAATGCACCAGCTGAAATACAGCGAAATATACCAAGCAATAAACTGCAGTGTTTTGTTTGTGTCCACATTATTTAAAATGAAAACTGGTAAACATTGTTTTGCATTTAGAACAGTCTATACAACGTTCTCTCTTGCTTTAGTGTTCATTTTATTTAGAACAGTCCACACAACACTTCATAACTCTCTAATGTTCATTGTGTTTAGTACAGTCCACACAACACTCCATAGCTCTCTAACTGTATTTAGAACAGAACACACAACACTCCATAGCTCTCTAATGTTTATTGTGTTTAGTACAGTCCACACAACACTCCATAGCTCTCTAACTGTATTTAGAACAGAACACACAACACTCCATAGCTCTCTAATGTTTATTGTGTTTAGTACAGTCCACACAACACTCCATAGCTCTCTAACTGTATTTAGAACAGAACACACAACACTCCATAACTCTCTAATGTTCATTGTGTTTAGTACAGTCCACACAACACTTCATAACTCTCTGACTGTATTTAGAACAGACCACACAACACTTCATAACTCTCTGACTGTATTTAGAACAGACCACACAACACTTCATAACTCTCTAATGTTTATTGTATTTAGAACAGTCCACACAACACTTCATAACTCTCTAATGTTTATTGTTTTTAGAACAGTTCACACAACACTTCAAACTATAATGTTTATTGTATTTAGAACAGTCCACACAACACTTCAACTCTCTAATGTTTATTGTATTTATAACAGTCCACACAACACTTCAAACTCTAATGTTTATTGTATTTAGAACAGCCCACACAACACTTCATAAATCTCTAATGTTCATTGTATTTAGAACAGTCCACATAACACTTCATAACTTTCTAATGTTTTTTTTTTGTTTTTAGAACAGTCCACACAACTCTCTTAATGTTAATTTTATTTAGAGCATTCCACACAACACCCTATAACTCTGTAATGTTTATTGAATTTAAAACAGTCCACAAAACACTCCATAACTCTCTTAATTTAATGTTCATTGTGTTTAGAACAATCCACAAAACACTAAATCTCTGTAATGTTCATTGTATTTAGATCAATCCACACAACACTTCATAACTCTCTTAATGTTCATTGTATTTAGAACAATCCACACAACACTCTATAACTTTCTATTGTCCATCGACAGACATACAACCCATACTTGGAGAACGTCACCAAAAAACATAGCAAGCACTCAAGCACAGCATTTAAGGTGTATGATATTGATGGTAGTGCACCCAACCAGGCAGCCAATCATGGACACAACCGGGCAACATTCCCTGGTTCAGCTGGGCGTCGTCGGGAAACTGGGCATAATGATAGGTTTTACGATGAACTGGAGTATGAGAGGAAAGTGCGTAAACGCAAGGCACGACTTATCGTGGCAGCTGAGGAAGCTTTCACTCACATCAAGCGGATGCATGATGAACAGAGTAAGTGGGTACAAGATAGAATGAGTGCAATTGGGGGGGGGGGGGGGGGGGGGGGGGGGTAAAAATGAGCATGGTAAGTGAAGTGAAGTAATAAGGGTGTGTGGGAAACAGGGTAGGTGCAGTAGGTTAGGGTAAGTCTTTGGGAATACAAGAAAGAAGGCGGACCTTGAGATCTGAATTTATGGCTCCATCCTTCAGCCTTGATTTTGACCTAGGATTGGAAAAGACCGATTCACCTTGAACGGGACAGATCTCTCTTGAATTTCATTCTCTATAATGGGAGAATCAGAAGTAAAACAGTCATTGGTAGACCTGCAATTTTTGGGCGTTATGCTATTTTTGGCCATTTTTCGCTACCTTTGTTTCAAATGTTTATGGTCATTCGGCACTTGATCAATTCTCTTTCATTGTATGGTTTCTTTCATCTTCTACCCATCTGTAATTCACTAGAAAGGATGTCCTTGGGACTCTGCCATCCTCCATTTTCACCAGGTTTGTACCCAGCCACCTATGCCTTCCTAGACTGAGCATTTAGAAAACTGTTATAATACCTGCTCTTTCCAATAGCTAAGTGTTTGTAATCTTGTCTTGCTACTTAATGCCAAGTATTCTTCTGAGGCATCGCATTTGAAAGCTATTTAGCCATTTCTCCTGGTGCAAATAAGTTGACCAAGTTTCATATCCCTACATAAAGCAGTGCTGAGAATACATAAAGGAAGAAAAAGAAGAAGATGAGATCTCAAGCTTGATAAATAAGAGTTTTTGTTTTAATCGTGAGCTCTCTTTTCTTCTAATCTCTTTTTGTTAATCTGCTTATTGTTGTTGCTACCTTACATACACTGATGTTGATTTCTTGGTCCAATGATGGTTTGTTATTAAATGTGGATCCCAAATAGGTAAAATGGTCAACTGTCTTCAGCTCTTCACCATTAATGTAGACTGCAGGTCTATCAGTAACACCTTGCACTATAACTTTTGTCTTTCTTTTGCGGATTGTTAGTCCACATTCATAGCATGCACCAGCAGAAGCAAATAGTAAACATTGCAGCTACTTTTCTGAGCGGATGATAATTGCTGCATAATCTGTAAACAGCAGCTCTGATAAGTACCTTCATTATCCTGGTTTTGGCCTTCAGCCTAAAAGCATATTTATTTCTCCTCTCCATATCACAAAATCTGGACAGTTTTGTAGAGACCATATGCATCATGATCCATCTCTCAGCCTGCCTTGTTTACTCCAAAGGAAACTAAAGATAAAACCAGTATGCTTAGAACAAAACAGGCTGCAGAAGCTGCTGGATCAGAAAAGCTGTGCTCTCTCTCTTCTCTTCTAGACCCAACTGCCAGCCAAGGCTAAGGGCCTGGTCTACCCTGCCATAACACAAAGCATGCTATTGTATTTTGCCACTTTGTTGCTAGTAACACCAAGAGGCAGGGGAAGACCAAGAAGAAGATGGATTGAAGGAGTCACGGACAACTTGAGACTTCATAACATCACGGCATATGAAGCGACTGAGCGCGCCCTGGCTCGGTTGCCGATCATCTGATAGACTGCGACGCCTAGCGGCACAAGCAGATTTTGACAAAAGAAAGAAGAAGAAGTTGCTAGTAACACTATACTTTTTTCTATAATTGTTAGTACACTATACTTTGTTTTAGTTGTTTCTAGCAACATGGTACTGTTTTTAAAAAAAATATATATTTGCTAGCACACTTTACTATTTTTTTTTATTTATTGCCAGTAACACTAATTTTTCTGTCATTTCTAGCAAACTGCACTGTCCCCCCTCCCCAGATATTGCTAGAAACGCTGTATTATTTTTTTCTATCATTGCTAGCAACACTGTATTATTTTTTTCTATCATTGCTAGCAACACTGTATTATTTTTTTCTATCATTGCTAGCAACACTGTATTATTTTTTTCTATCATTGCTAGCAACACTGTATTATTTTTTTCTATCTTTGCTAGCAACACTGTACTTTTTTTTTAAATTACTGCTAGCAACACTGTACTATTTTTTCTATCATTGCTAGAACATTTCATTTCTTTATATCTAAAAACATTGTGCTATTTGTTTCTGTCACTCAACACTGAACAATTTTTTTCTCTTTCTGTTGATGCTATCAGTACTGTTGTCAGTTACATTGTATTACTTTTCTCTAGCAGGTTCAGCCGTACCCATGGACCCCAACGAAGCAGCAGCTGCCGTATTCCCTTCACTGGCTAGAGCCTTACAGAAATATCTCCGGGTCACACGGCAGCAACCTCGCTATACAATGGACTCGGTTCTGAGCCACCTGGCCTGCTGTATATCTCACGATATGAGCCCTAGAGCATTTGTATCTCAGTACCTCTCTCAAGGTGCCGTCGTCTGCGGCAGCGAACAGGAAGTGAGGAGCACAGAGCAGTGGGTGCTGGCCTGTGACCAGCTGCTGACTCGGGAGTTGAACCACAAGACCCTCTTCCAGCTCAAGAAGGGACCAGTCTCCCTTCTGTGCTTTGTGACCAGAATCCCGCATTTTAGCCTCACAGAGGAGATTGTGCATCCAAAGTCCAACAAGTTTGTGCTGCGGCTGAACTCGGAGACCTCAGTTTGATGATCTGTTCCCGTAATGTATAAATTATTGACCACACCTGCGGTTGAACTCTGTGACCTCGGTCTGGTCACCTCTTCCTGTAGTGTATAGCTTATTGACTACAGCTGGCAGTATTCTTAACTGTTTCGGCTCCAGATAGTGCTGAATTCAACAGTGTCTTTGCTAACGTTGTATCCTAAAGCAACAATTGTTTTAGTCTCTAGAGCTGAAAAATACAGCGTTAGGAGAGAAGGTGTTGTAATAAAAACTTGAAAATAAGAAGTTAACCATAAGACAAGAATTGGATAGGGAAAGTAATGACGTTTGTTCCGTATATAGTATAACCAATTAATGCATGTCGAGTTCCTTGGTACCGAAAGAGTTGAACAATTCCCCTGCTGCTTGCAAGCTTGCCGTTTGGTGTCAGGTAGCTAGCTGTTTGTGACTAGGTGAATATGTAGGCCAGCAGTATATAAAGAACGTCCATATTTCTTGTCTAGATTGCTCAGTAGGTCACAAGTCTATGATGGTCAGATATCTGGTGTCAGTGATAGCCAGGTGTAAGCTGATTGTCAGATATCTGATGCCAGTGATAGCCAGGTGTTAGCTGATGGTCAGATATCTGATGCCAGTGATAGCCAGGTGTAAGCTGATTGTCAGATGTAAAAAAAAAAAAAAAAATGACAGGTAATTCATACCCATGTGTTAATTTAAATGTAAGTGTTAATAACCATTTGTATATATCAGTCAGGTGTTGACTGAATACAGGGTGTATATAACAACCAGGTGTTAACTATATACTTAGTGTATATAATAACCAGGGATACATGATGGCCCTATGCAGCTGATCACCAGGTGTTAACTGGTGGACTATGTGCATATAAGGAAGAATACCTGATAGTCCTGTGTAGGTGATAGCCAGATGTTAACTATTAATCAGGTGGTAACTGATGACTAGGTGTATATAATAACCAGGAATACCTGATAGCCCATTGCAGCTAACTTATAACCAGGTGTAACCAAGAGCCAGGTGTGTCTGCTGTATCTGATAGGCATATGTTGCCAATGAACAGGTGTATCTAAACCAATTGTATCTGATGACCATTTATAGCAGGGGTGAGAAGGATCAACACGCACATATAAACAACTGACAGGGTCAACCTGCACATATAAACAGTCGCTGAATTTCATCACCTTCACCACATACACCTGGACCTGATGTCTTCCCTGCCCAGTGACCGGGTGCTTTGCACTTGACAGTAATTTATTTCATGGATTTTATTCAACACATTCATCTCGAGTGGAGTTAGATTCTGCAGCTATAGGTTGTGTGTTAAATTTATTAAAATTTGGGTTAGTACGTGTTTTTTTGTTCCGGTGAAAGCTTGTCATATTTTCTGGAACTTTTGTGAAATTATTTTATGTGTCAATTAATTCTTGAAACTATTTAGTTTTTTATATTAGTATATATATATATTGCAATTATTTGCTGTATAAATGAGTTTTTGTAAAATGGTGTGAAAATTTGTGATTGCTCATGGGGTTAGTTCTTGTGACGGTCAGTTGTGTGTGTTAGTTCTTGTAGCATAGTTAGTTCATGACAGTTAATTGTGTGGGTTTGTCCTTGTAATAAACTGTTGTGTGAATTAGTTCTTGTGACATTTAATTACAGGAGTCAGTTACCGAAACAGTTAATTGTGTGGGTTAGTTCTTGTAATAAACTGTTGTGTGAATTAGTTCTTGTGGCATTTAATTACAGGAGTCAGTTACCGAAACAGTTAATTGTGTGGGTTAGTTCTTGTAATAAACTGTTGTGTGAATTAGTTCTTGTGGCATTTAATTACAGGAGTCAGTTACCGAAACAATTGTGTGGGTTAGTTCTTGTAATAAACTGTTGTGTGAATTAGTTCTTGTGGCATTTAATTACAGGAGTCAGTTACCTAAACAGTTAATTGTGTGGGTTAGTTCTTGTAATAAACTGTTGTGTGAATTAGTTCTTGTGGCATTTAATTACACGAGTCAGTTACCGAAACAGTTAATTGTGTGGGTTAGTTCTTGTAATAAACTGTTGTGTGAATTAGTTCTTGTGGCATTTAATTACAGGAGTCAGTTACCGAAACAGTTAATTGTGTGGGTTAGTTCTTGTAATAAACTGTTGTGTGAATTAGTTCTTGTGGCATTTAATTACAGGAGTCAGTTACCTAAACAGTTAATTGTGTGGGTTAGTTCTTGTAATAAACTGTTGTGTGAATTAGTTCTTGTGGCATTTAATTACAGGAGTCAGTTACCGAAACAGTTAATTGTGTTGGTTAGTTCTTGTAATAAACTGTTGTGTGAATTAGTTCTTGTGGCATTTAATTACACGAGTCAGTTACCGAAACAGTTAATTGTGTGGGTTAGTTCTTGTAATAAACTGTTGTGTGAATTAGTTCTTGTGGCATTTAATTACAGGAGTCAGTTACCGAAACAGTTAATTGTGTGGGTTAGTTCTTGTAATAAACTGTTGTGTGAATTAGTTCTTGTGGCATTTAATTACAGGAGTCAGTTACCGAAACAGTTAATTGTGTGGGTTAGTTCTTGTAATAAACTGTTGTGTGAATTAGTTCTTGTGGCATTTAATTACAGGAGTCAGTTACCGAAACAGTTAATTGTGTGGGTTAGTTCTTGTAATAAACTGTTGTGTGAATTAGTTCTTGTGGCATTTAATTACAGGAGTCACTTACCGAAACAGTTAATTGTGTGGGTTAGTTCTTGTAATAAACTGTTGTGTGAATTAGTTCTTGTGGCATTTAATTACAGGAGTCAGTTACCGAAACAGTTAATTGTGTGGGTTTGTCCTTGTAATAAACTGTTGTGTGAATTAGTTCTTGTGGCATTTAATTACAGGAGTCAGTTACCGAAACAATTGTGTGGGTTAGTTCTTGTAATAAACTGTTGTGTGAATTAGTTCTTGTGGCATTTAATTACAGGAGTCAGTTACCGAAACAATTGTGTGGGTTTGTCCTTGTAATAAACTGTTGTGTGAATTAGTTCTTGTGGCATTTAATTACAGGAGTCAGTTACCGAAACAGTTAATTGTGTGGGTTTGTCCTTGTAGCAGTTAATTCTGTAGGTTAGTTTCTGCAAGAATTAATTCTTTGACTTCTGACATTAGTTTATAATAAGGGCCTGTTTCTCTAAAAAACATCTTGTATATGCTAGTTCAGTAGATTGTGTTGGTTCACTTGGTTGTGTTGGTTCATTTGGTTGTCTTAGTTCATTTGGATGTGTAAGTTAGATCGTTTGATTGTGTTAGCTACTTTATTTAGTTGTGTAAGTTAGTTTACTTGGCTGTGTAAGGTAGATCAGTTGACTTGTGTAGGTTTACCTCAGCTGGTTGTATTAGTTCATTAGTTCACTTGGTTGTGAAAGTTCACTTGTTGTGTTAGTTCAGTTGATTGTTTGTTAGTTCACTTGTTTTGTAAGTTAGTTGAGTTTGTTGCTTAAGTTAATTCAGGGGGTGGTGTAAAAATTTAGATTGAATTTGTTTTTTTTTAAAAGTGGTGTTACATTCATTCCTAGACAGATTGATTATGGATTCCTGTAGCATTAGATTATGTATTAGTTTCTATAGTAATAGATTGTGTATTAGTTCATGTAGCAATACATTGTTAATTAGTTCCAATAGTGGTACATTAGTTCTGTCAGCAATAGATTGATTTGTTCTTGCAGCACTGGATTAATTGGTAGTTTCTAAAGAATAGATTATTTACTAGTTCCTGCAGAAATAGAGTTTAGCAATACAGCAATGGATTGATTTGTTCTTGCAGCAGTTTATTGATTAGTATCTTCAGGCACTGAAATTATTATTAATTTCTAAAGCATTGTTTATTATTTCCTGCAGAAATAAATATATTTAGCAGTACATCTGATTAGTTGCTGCAGCATTGGATTGATGAAATTAGTTCCCACAGCAATACATTGTGTAGAAGTTGCTGTAAAAATAGATTGTTTGCTTCTGAAGCAATGGAATAAAGCATTTGTTGTACTAAGCTATGTGATTTAGTTTCTATAATGAACAATTTTCTATGTATGCTTGTTTATATTGCCTGCGTCTGTGGCTTAGGTGTTGCAAACTGGCTTCATAATGCCGGGGTGTTGGGTTCGATCCCAGCTGCGGGCGGTTTGTCTTGCGTTGGTTTCGACAGGGTACCGAGAACTGACCGTTTAGAAATCAGTGGCAAACTACTTAACATAAAATGTGCCTAGAAAAACCAAAAAAGCCCAAATAAACCATTTGTTTTTGTTTTTGTTATATAGGTAATTCAGTTTCTACAAGATTCAGCTCTGTATATAAGATAGTGTGTGTTTGAATGAATAAATTATATTTTTTGTAATGAATTTGTATTAGTGAAAGTTGATTGTGTTTAACCTGTCCATTTACTTTGGTGGTAGCTGTTTTCTGGGATGATTGTGAAAACTGGATACTTAACTCTGTCCCCACAGAAGGTGGCTGTTTTAGATTTGCTGTCTATTATAAATCCCTGAGTTGTCACTATCTGCACTTTACAGCTTTGGCCAGTCCCGCTTGGTCTATATGTTGGTTTTGGAACTGTTTGTGCATTTGCAGCATTTAGAAGTGCCGATACAATTATATTTACTGAAAATAGATAGGGGGAAGGGCTATCTGTTATTTAAAAAAAATGGTAATTTAGTCATAATGACATAATATTTTGTCTTTAGGGTCGCATACAAATGGGGTCACTGCTGGAATTCCTATGTACATTTTTGTGTTTGGGACCAAGGAACGGCATTCATTTAATTCTACACTACATTCATTGTTATTGATTAATTCTCATTTTATATTTCTAAACTATTTCTTTTAAATGATTATAATAAGTAATGTTTTTGTTTTAAGTGACCTGTGTAAAATAGTTGTATTTCAAAGGATTCCCCCTCCCCACCATTTCCTTTTATCCCTCTATTAAAAAAAAGTAAAGGCGGATTATAAATGGTTTTATGCTTCTGAGTCCTTATTCTAT